AAGTTTAATAAACTTTATTTACATTTAAAAATAAAAATTAATACTTTTAATAGAATAATTATGTTATTTGAGTATCCAAATTACACGAGTCACAATCATACGGATGCTCATGTCATATGAGTATCTGTACATTACCAGTCATACCGGTTAACGTACCGAATTTTATAATTTAATCTAACTAATAAAAATATTCAAAAATTTATGAAAACTTATAAATCTCATTTAGGAATAATTTGGTTGCGTTTAGACGTATTATAAGCTTCTGTCTATCCTTATCACTTATATGCAGAAAGAAGGTAGAAGCTTACAGCCAAGCCAAACGCAGCCTTATTACATATAGAACAATTTTATCTTATTTACATACATCTATTTGACTTATATCTATACCATCCAAAATGTCTTCATACTCATCTTTTAAATCTTCTGCTCTTTGCAATATTAAAAGCTGTAATTTACTATGATTAAGAAGAATGTGAAAGTAGATATTTTAATATAGATTATAGATAAAGTATATGACTTACTTTCGCAGCAGCTATAATTTGCAAGACTAATTTATTACTTAAATATGGAATATTTTCCTTTATTTCTTTAGGATCAGCTTTCGCTATAGACTGTAAAGTTTTATAACCGGCTTTGTACAATTGACGAGCTCTACCCTAAGATTAAAAAAATGATAAAATAGTTGTATATTTATAGATCCATTATTTGTTTTTTAAATATTTGAACGCAATGTATCAACAATAACTAACTTACTATTTTAACTGATGGAAGTTCCATTAATTTTTCTAATTCTAATGGACAACAATAAGATAGTTTTTTACTAAATGTACTTAATATTTCAGTAAATGCCCAAAACTCAGGTAATTCCTATAAAATAAAAGATTGATATATATTTTTTGAATTTTTCTATTATGTTAATACTCATTAGGCTAATAACTCATTTATTTACCTGACAAAATCTGACTACAGAAAATGCGAACATTGAAACTGCATTTAAAAGACCTTGTATAATACCTTTATTAACTTGATATTTCTCAGCAACAGAATAAATTGTATGATGATTCCACAATTCATGTACTATTAGTGTCACATAAAATCTGTGAATTACTCTCTTCTCGACAAACTATATAAAATAAAATTTTCTTTTCTAAATAAAACAGTGCGTTTAAGTATAATTTCACTTAATCTGATAATAAACTGACCTTAGGTATTATACCATCACGTATTTTATTGGCCATAGCTTCTGTTATTCCAAGAAGTCTAGCAACTTGCATTTGATTTTCAGTCAACTCCATTATCTTGAACAATATTATAACATGTTTATGACATTACTTACATCAATTGATAAAACATTTATGACATTACTTATATTGATATATAAAAACACAGATATATAATATTACCACATCATAGTAAATACTGCCGATAGGAGTGATTTGAGATATATTATCATATGGTGTGACAAGATACAGAAGATGCAGATCATCAATTAATATTAAATGCCTCTGAGCTATTTTTAGATCCTCATATAATGTGTATGCAGTTTTTAAATCAACCGGCCCTGCAATGAATCTATTATGAAGTACATGTTTAAATATATCAAAAATAAATAAAACTTGTTGTTACCTTTCATTGCAGCTTGTCCCAAATCACAAAGCTGAAACTCAGTTTCACTTGTAAACATGACCGTCTTTACTCCCTCTTTAACTGGTAAATTCTTCTTACATGTTGACGCTTGAGATGGAATAACAACAGTTACATTAGGATTACCAGTATTACTATTTTTGCTCTTTACTTTTATTACGCCACATTTTAATAATGCTGTTATTGTCTCATCTGTTATTGCTTTTAAATTAATGCCTATTCTATTTTGTTGAATATTGAGTAATGTTGAAATTGTCAATTTATGCAATTTAGACCTAGTTGATGCTATGTTTAATTGTATTGCACTTAGAATCAGATTGTTCAATCCCTTGTCGTTTTCTATGTATAAACTACTCAGCGAGTCGTCCATTTGAGAAGTCAAAAGATCTTTTACCTGTAATGTAAATTATTCTTTAATTTTTAAAATGATTAATCATATATACTTTGGTCTATTTTATAAATTCTTACTTTACTGATCTCGGACTTTTTACAAATAAGTATACTTTCTCCTAAAATTCCCATACCAGCGCGACCTGCTCGACCAATCATTTGTTTATATCTACTTAAATTTAAAAACTGATTACCAACATAAGGACTACGTAGTATTACCTAATAAAAAGCAATATTGTTAACACATGTAATAATATTAACCATACATTATTATTATTATATTAATGATTTAATTACCCTCCTTGCTGGTAAGTTGACACCAGCCGCTAAAGTCGACGTACAACATATTACACATAGAGTACTTTCTCTAAAGGCATCTTCTATTAAGCGCCGTTCTTCGGACGTAAGACCAGAATGATGGTAAGCTATGCCAAATTTGATAGTTTTTTGCAAAATGGGACATAATCCTTCTTCAGTCTTAAGCGCGTTTAACAGGGTCATCTTTTCGTTTACTTTATTATTATATAAATTCCTAAAATAATAACATTTAGATATTTGTAATGTTATTTATATATTGTATTCCAACTTACAAAGTGATGTCTTTAACGTCAATAAGACAGCATTAAAACGTCACCTTACTACTTGAGTTAATACAATTTACTAAGAAAAATTTAAAATAAACATGATAAAATCTTACTTAGACAAAATTTTTGCTAATAATAAAGCCAGATTCTCACAATTTTTACGACTTGAGCAGAATATAAGGCAGGAATCATTTGGTATTACTTCCATTATCAAACCTCCAATTCTGTCTGGATCCAGTATTGCTATATCATCTGAATACTTATAATAAAATTATATTAGTTGACATTATCTTTTATAAGATCTTGTGTAAAATAAAACTTGACTATATTACCTTGTAATCGTTGGTGATCATATCTACTAATAATTCTTCATTATTCAAGTTAACTACCCACATATCATTTCCACATTTTACATATTCTGTTATTTTCACTGGTCGAAAGTTTTGAGAGTATGTATCTGCATTAAGAAATTGCGCAATTTCTTTTAAATTACCTATGGTTGCGCTCATCCCAATCAAGCGTATTATATCTATTAAAAAAATAGATATTTTATTAAAAAACGAATAATTTAATTGTATATCACACAACTTGATGAAAATAACAAAAGTAAACAAAAATTCATTAAAGATGTCAATCAATGAAATTATAAATATTTTAATAAATTCGCTCATTTTCGGCTAATTGTAAGTTTTGACACACAATTAAATTCTTAAATAACTTCATTTAAATACCACTAAAAAACATTATCTTTGTAAGAAGCCCTTCTAATGTGGCCCCTCTTCCCCCAGATTCTCCAAGCAGATGTAATTCGTCAACAACTATAATACCAATCTAAAAATTTTTTTGGAGTTATAACAATACAAGCTATATAATATGTGACTTTGATAATTAATTATTAATATATATTTCAGCTTACCTCGGTTAAGCGTTTCGTTTCTATTAAACTATTTACAAGCCCTAGTGCTTTCTCTATGGTACATATGTAAAGGCTGTTTTTCCTTCGCCGTTTAATTGGTGGATAACGTCCTTTTGTATTAGCATATTCTTCAATTAAAAAACCTAATTTTAATGCTAGTATAGCCATTGATTGAACCTGCATATATAAATTTATGAGCTCGATTAATATACTAGATTACACAAATGCTTTTTTAAATATATTTTTCAAAGTGGCATGCCTTTTCCTGTACCAAAGCCACATATGGAAGTATAAAAATGGCATTTTTTTTGTTACATATAATCTCCCTGAGCATTAATATTTCTGCAACTAAAGTTTTACCGCCACTTGTTGGCAGAGCATAAATTAAATTCTTCTTACTTTTAATAGCCAATTTTAAGCATTCATCTTGCCAATCTGTATAAAACAATTAACATTAAAAATCATTCTTATTTCTAACAAACTCAACATATATATTATTGCAAACTTACGATATAACTCACGAATTCCCTTGACTTCTTTTATTAATTTTTTTACATTGTCTGATAAACCATAAAACGAAGAATAATTTGTCAAATTCGTTTCATTTTTCGTTTCTTTTAATATTGATACATTATTAGAAAAACATAGTTTTTTTTTTAAGATTTTACATTTATTTAAGGATCTAGATTTAGTTTTTAAAATTGGTGAATTATTATCCTTTTTAAAATGATCATTTTCTAAAGTATCATCACCAAAGTTTGTGATATGCAAACATGATGCACTCATTAATTCTTGGTGTGATACATTTTTATGCAATTGATTTGCTTCCTCCACATTTTGATCTACATTGTCTAATTCAAACCTTGTATCCTCTTTGTAAAATGTATCAAATATATCATAATTACTTATGTTATTGCAACTCTCTGAAGAAATAATTTCTTCCTCATTCTGTGAATCGAATTGAGCAAATATTTGATTCATCAAGGTTTTGTCCTGCCATTCATTCATGTTGGGGGACACGCTAAATGATATTTTGGAACTGGTTGTTGCATTGGTTGCAACGTTTTGTACTAACGTTCTAGAACCTTGTGTCGCCTCATTGAGCTCTTGGAAGGGTTGACAAGAATTTACTGAAGCATGTAATCCATTATCAGGTTCTATATTACATAATAATGTGTTATCCAGCTGTAACAGGAATTCAACTGTATATGGAGATTTAGATCTTCCATTGTCATTTAATGATGTTTGACGGTCTTTTTTGTCATCATTCAGCGCTTCCATTTAACAAATCAGTTCTAAAAACACAAATTTATTTATTTATATTCATAGTATCTCAATCCATTAATTGAAATGTTAAATAATTTTGTACCTTATTAAATAATTAATTAAAATGTTAAATAACTTTGTACCTTAAGTATCAGATACTCTAAAAAATAACCCTTCTGGTCAAACAGCTGTCACGCGGTTCAAAAATTGTATCGATCACTCGACTCTCGTAGTGATGTTCATATTCTGGTCTCTGTAGTGTGCATTAAAAACCATAACCTGTTGCAACTCTCACGACTTCGCGTAATTATACGCACGCCTTGTAATCCTAAAAGCCGGAAAGTCGCATTTGTTGCAGTACACGTCCCATTTACAGAACAAAATGCCGAAGAAGAAAACTGGACAGAGGAAGAAGGCAGAGAAACAGAAACTCCGGCAGAAGGAAATCAGAGCTGCCAAGGAGCAGATTGATCTGGCCAAATTTCCTTGTAATTCTGTGATGGTGAGTATTTTTCGACCATAATTATTGTTTATAGTTGAACTATAAACAATATATATATATATAGTATAGTTGTAAAGTGACATATTAGATTATTAATTAAATATATACTCAAAATTGAACGAAAGTGAAAGTTACAATCTAATATAGGGGTGTGTTCATGAATTCAATTATTATCATTTTATCTTTGTTGTTCACCAAGGCTACATTTCAAAACATTCTCTCCAAAAATTTTATAAAATATAATAGTGTTAAAACTTTCTTTCTCGCTCTTGTCAAATCAAATATCCTATTTCACTTTAAACTCCGAGTGTATACTAATTTAGCCATAGTATAAACAAACTTTATATTGTATTAAATAAAATTTTCCCCAGAGAGGATATTTTGAAGTATAGCCTAAATATTAAATAAGAATATAAAATTATACCTGAGTATAGCTGAGTGAAGTTTCTGTATGTACAGTCCAGTAACAAGAAACAACTCTTAAAGTGATTCAAGAATACTTCATGATTCTAATATTATTTTATTTCTCATAGGAATGCGACAAGTGTAATAAAAAGCAAAAGAGTCGTGCCTTTTGTTATTTCTGTCAGAGTGTACAGCGATTGCCCATATGTGCGCACTGTGGCAAGATTAAATGCATGCTAAAGACAGGAGACTGTGTGGTGCGTCATCCTGGGATCTTCACCACAGGATTGGGAATGGTGGCAAGTAAATCTGCGTCTGTTACATTATAGAGTTTCTTTAAATGTTTATTAGGATTTGCTATCATAAATGAAGTATTTTAGGGAGCCATATGTGATCACTGTGAAGCTTGGGTATGTCATGGAAGACGCTGTCTTACCAGTCATGCTTGTATCTGTCCACTGATGGATGCCGTTTGTCAGGAATGCGAGAGAGGCGTTTGGGATCATGGAGGAAGGATATTCAAGTGTTCATTCTGTGATTGCTTTTTATGTGAAGATGATCAATTTGAGCATCAAGCATCGTGCCAAGTATTGGAAGCAGAAAATTTCAAATGTAATAGACGATATACATAAGGGACACATTACATTCTTATTTAGTTTAAAAAAAAAAAAAAAAATTGTATTTTAACACAAATTAAAATTTACAGGTCAATCATGTAATCGTTTGGGACAATACTCTTGTCTTAGGTGTAAGACATGCTATTGTGAAGATCACGTTCGTAGAAAAGGTTTTAAATATGAAAAGAATAAGCCTATCCCTTGTCCAAAGTGCAGCTATGAGACATCACAGACTAAAGATCTAAGCATGTCCAGTAAGCATTTATATAATATTATATATATATATATATAAGGTGGTCCATCTGAATCTGACGATGAAAACGGATATAATTATGGTAAATCAAAAATGGTTTTTTATTTTTAATAAAAATTTAGATTTATTTCTATCAATGTAAATTAACTTTAAACTTTTTATTTTTTTTTAATTAGTATTAGAGAAAGATAAAGAATAATTCAAATCGAAATTAAAAATAATCTGCGTTAGTAGAAATGAGCATTCCAAATTTTAAAAAATTTGAAATATTTATATATATTTATTTTTTATATCTTTGAGAAAAATTTTCTTTATGCAGCAGGAAATCAAGAGTCTTGTTATGGAACTGTTAGCTATTCCAATGACAATGAAGATGAAGATGACGATTATGACGATGATGAAGACGAAGACGAAGATGATGAGGATGACGAAGACGATGATGATGATGATGATGAATCTACAAGTACAGATGAAGAAAAGAAAGATACTACAATATCAGAAACTCCAGAGAATAGTAAAAATAAAGTTTAACACTTATTTACAGATGTGTAAAATAGTAATATAATTGAAAATGAAATATCGATTATATCAAATTAAGTGACGCACAAATATGCGAAAAGAAGTATAAGAATTCAAGCAGAAAGACAATTTTAATATTTTGTAAAATATAAATTAATTAAAAATTTCTAAGTATATATATATATATTTAATAGGCACAATATTTAAAATTTGATAATTCATTTTAAACAAATGTGTATAGATGATAACACACACACACACACACAAAAGCGAATCGAGCAAATATGATGTTGAATATAATATAGAAATGACCGTGAAGAAACAAACATTGTGTTTATTGTACATGTGAATTTTATGCAATTTAAATAAGAGTCTTACAAAATCATATATAACACATTTACATTTAAATTATACACGTAACGTTGTGTATTCAGACGGGAATGCAAAAATATGAGGAGCAGTAGTATGAATCGTAGGTAGCCATCCAGCGGTTGGAATAATGTTCCAGGACAATGTTAACGTTACATTCTTATTTCCTCTGCAAAAATGAAAAGCAAAAAATGTATCTGCTGTATATATAAGATTAATAATAATTACAGAAAAGCTTTGCTGCCATAATAATCAATCAACTTTATTTTACCTGAGGCCTTTGCCATCATCCCAAAAGTAATATTTCGTATTCATATTTTTAAAGTCTAGTACAGCATTATCTTCACGAAGAACTATTTTGTCCCATAGTACAACCTGTCAATACGTATTACAATTTCATTAAAAAAAACTGATTTTAAGAATAAAAGAGAGAGAGAATACATTATTGTAAATTAATAAACCTAATTAAATAAAGGCATACCTGATTAAGTTGATTATTTTCTGACTCATATTCTGCATAAAGGAATAAGAATAATTGCTTAACATTCCAATTGAACAATGGAGTAAGATGTAAAAACTTGGTAAGGTAAATATAATTTAAAACACATGAATTCAAAATATAATAATTAGAAAGAAGAGTTAGTGAAAGTCAAATATATATGTAGTTCTCAGTGTATAAAATATGTTATTTTATAGAATGAAAGAAGATATCTTCATTCATGGTACTTTAATCTTTTCTTATAAAGTTAGAAATCTAAATGAGGATATAAGTAATTATCTATACCAATGCTCAGCTATTTTTTTGTAAATTATATAAGACAATTCAAAACTAGAAAATTTAGATGCATTCATATAAATAAAATAATTAATAACATAGAGACATTTGTATATTTTACTGTATGAAAAGGATATCAGTTCGTAAATCAAAAGTCACGTAACCCAGGTCGTTTTTTTCTCTAGATGCACTGTAATCTGGTACATTTTTTCTGTAAAATAAAGTAAATTTACTACAGCAATTGCAAATATGCAAAATTATATGTAATCTGTATTAAACTTTGATACATTAGTTTCTTAATATTTACGTATTTAAACACAATGTAGAAAAATTTGTTTTTTTTTACAGTACAACTTACAAATACAATATGGATCCTTTTGACAAAAACATAAATGTGATTTAATTGAAATGAAATGGACTGTGTACGATAAATTTTATGGCACATATTTATATGTTTACATTCAATACTTACACAACAACTTTAACTGTATTTAACGTAACGTTCGCTTGGTAATCGTAAAATATTGTTGAGATAAAACAGCAAAATGTGAGAAAGGCCGAAACACTCAAGGTGTAAGCTAAAATAGCGTTGCCTCGTGTGAGGAACGTATGCATGACGGTTGGTAAAGGTATAGAATACTCCGTTCAGTTCAAATTTAGATAAAAATACACTTATTCGACGCGTTTTTGCACGAAACGAACGAATCTGGCAATAAAAAGTGCCGCTCTGCCCTCCAAACAGAGATATTAAGCGTTAAAGTTGACGACTATTCAGGTTAGCAAATCTGTCATAGCCCTACAATCGCCACATCGCCATGTCACATCATACTGTGGTCCATGGTGGCCCTGAGAGAGGACATGACGGCCTAAAACCAGTAACCGCAAAATGCTGCCGCGCACTACTGCCCTCTGAAGAAGTGGATGTAAACTACATGCAAGATCCACTATTCGCTGTGCCACAGCTACAAAGAAAAATAGCAGCAAATAAAAAAACAAGTACATATTCTTGAAGGGCTATTTTTTTGCTAATTTTTTGCTCTATTCTCGACTTTTTTCATTCACCGTTTATGTCAAAAAATTCGACCCACAGTGTGGCTGCGCTGACTCGCGTACAAGAGTAAAGTACATTAAAGCAATCAATTGCCGGGATTATTTTGGTCTCAAAATGTTTCTAGAATTATTTGCTCTAAGAATATCCAGAATCCGATATTTTGCTCATCGTTTACGTCGATAAATTCGATCCACAGTGTGGCTGTGCTGACTCGCGTACAAGATTAAAGTACATTAAAGCAATCAATTGCCGGGATCATATATACATATGTATATATGTATATAACTTATTTAAAATATAAACACGCGCGATATATTTTAACATATTTGTAAAAAAAAAATGGGTGTAATATACAACTTTAATGTTAATACTTAAGCTTGATAATAAACATCACGCGCATGTAAGTAAACATACATATAATTGCAGAGAAGAATATTTATTCTGATCCACATTTTATGTAGCGCGAATACGATTATACGAACCGCGAATATCTACTTACCATCAGTCTTGAAAAGTATATGCGTTATCCTCAGAATAGTGGATCTTGCATGTAGTTCACATCCACTTCTTCAGAGGGCAGTAGTGCGCGGCAGCATTTTGCGGTTACAGGTTTTAGGTCGTCATGTCCTCTCTCAGGTTTCTCCCTGGCCATGTTTTCTCTTAGATGTTCTAAGTGTTTTCTACATGCATTTCGATGTTATGCGCATGCGTCTCGTTACTTTTCGGTCAAACAGGCTGGCTGCGTTCCGTTTCAGTATGCGCGCATTTTATATAGTAAACGTCACGTATACTATAGAGGAATACGCGCATATGCGTGAAACGGAACGCAGCCCAGTAGCCCATACGTCGTATGCCTAGAGTAGAGTACCTATAGGTACTCTAGTATGCCAAAATGGGTACACTCCAGTATGTTCGCGTTTCGTTTGCGAGGGAGAGCCAAAATTGTTGAAAGGTGTATCTGAATTAACGAAAGGTTAAAACAATTTTTTTTTTATGAATTTGGGAACGCACTAATTTGTTTAAAAAAAAAGTATAATTACCGAACGCTGATTCTGCGCGACGATCCGGTTGAATTTCAATTTAGTGACTTTCGAAATTCAATTTTTCGCGTGGCACGTTGGCGGGCCTGATCGCGAGCAGACTGAAACTGAACTAGGTCGTATATTGTGGATGCAGTACAGCGAGGGAGGGTTGACGCGGCCCGGTTATTTGGACATATTTATGGTTATCAAGTTTGACAATAAACATCGGACGGTCCTGTATGACTCGGAGTTAACGATACGTCAGCATGGGTGAGTCAACAACGCGCGATTTTTCGCTCTATGTCACGGATTTATTCCTTTAAAAAAAAGGACTGTATATCGCACGCTACTCCGACTATCGAGATGATTTTCCTCACGGTTTCGCACGCGAGATTCTGACGATATCTTCTTACAGGTGGGTTGCTCAGCTACTTCCGTAACCTGCTCGGTAGTCGTGAGATGCGGATCTTGATCTTAGGCCTGGACGGCGCCGGCAAAACCACGATTTTGTATAGGTTTGCATGACAGTCTTGTTACCTTGATGACTAGCTGTCATCTGTGTTTACATGGTGCATCTAATTATAATCAATTTTTTTGGAAGTTTTTTTTATACTTGGAGCTTTTTCATCTTTATATCTTGAAGTCATCTCTTTGGCATTATTTTAAACATAATTTATATTCTATTTACTATAGAATTGTACATATTATGAATATCATTAATAATATATATAATTTATATTTTATAATTCTATAATATGATTATCCAAATGTACTACTTAATTCTATGATGATGAGAAAGAAATATATATATACATTTATTTATATAGAATTTCAACTAGAAATTGCTATAAGCAAAGTTTTTTAATTGCTTGCTTATTAGGTTACAGGTCGGCGAAGTAGTAACTACAATACCAACCATAGGATTCAATGTAGAACAAGTTACTTACAAGAATTTAAAGTTTCAAGTTTGGGATCTCGGCGGTCAAACGAGTATACGGTATGTAGCTCATGTATATGTAAAAGTTAGTTTTATATCAAACTATTTTTTTTATCCTAAATTTCAAGAACACATATGCATATATCAATGCTAACCAAGATTTGTAATATTGTATGGCTATTTACATCTATATCTTCTTTTTTCAATCTCCATTAAGAAAAAAAAAACAAAGTATAGGTGTAAATGTTGATACATGTTAAGTTGTCCTGAATTACAAATTTTAAGCAGCACTGGTATGTCATTGTAGAGTTCATAAAATATATTTATACTTTCAGACCATACTGGAGGTGTTACTATTCCAATACAGACGCGATAATTTATGTGGTAGATTCGGCAGACAGAGATAGAATAGGCATATCAAAGGATGAATTAATTCTCATGTTACAAGTAATATTCATTTTTAAATTAATAATTACGCGTACTACTTTTTTTATAAAAAAAAATTTTTTTGTTTTACATACTTTATTGTTTTACATTAATATTAACGATTGTTTTTTTTTAAATATGTAATTTTGAACGTATCTTATATTTAAACAGGAAGAAGAGTTACAAGGCGCGATCTTGGTGGTACTGGCGAATAAACAGGATATGGCAGGATGCCTTAGTGTTGCGGAGGTCCATCAAGCACTCGGATTGGACGCTCTTAAAAACAGAACCTTCCAAATATTTAAAACTTCCGCGACAAAAGGCGAAGGGCTTGACCAAGCCATGGACTGGTTGTCGAATGCACTGCAGAGTAGAAAATGATCAATATTATGTCAGAGTTATTTATATTTGAGCCTTACAAGGGGACTAGTCACACGACTGTCGCTCTAAACGTGTCGTCAGGTTGTTGCCGGGCACGTGATATTTTGTTTATTTATTGTAATTATTGTATTTTAAATATTTCCTTTATAATTTACAGAGCAAGAACATTCGAAGAATTGCAGTACTTTTTTCATAACGGTTGAAACACGTAACAATAAGGGGATCATTTTATCTTTCTATATTTAAGATAATAAACTTAGAAAATCTTTTCAACTTAGAATCTTTTGCACTAATAAGTATCTCATGCTATTGTTACGCTACTACGCGTAACATTATTAAATAATTTGGTTAAAATAATTGTCGCTATTCATTTAATATTAACGGTAATTAAATTTAATACTTATGGAATTATTAATTGTTTGTAATGGGAATATGAGTATATTGCTATCAAATATACAACTCGATTACCAAGCAAACACGAGAATAAATTTTCGAAAAAATTTAAACTCGTAAAACAAGAATACTCCATTTAAATCGTATATATGCATCATATATTATTGTCTTCATGTATCTTAAATTATATAAAATACTTTTTTTTACAATAATATGAGTAAAACAAATTTAAAATAAATCTCAAAGTATTATAGGATACAAGTGCAACATCGTACTAGCATTTATAAAAATTGTTACACAATATAAACGAAATAAAATTAATTCTGTGCCGTGAAAAAATTATGTTTAGAAATGATTTATAGTATATAATAGAGGTTTCATTTTGAATTAAATTCTAATTTAACTGAGAGATAATTTTTATATTCGTGATATATACATATATATAAGCTGAGATCATTTTTATCGATTAGTAGTAATTAAAATTAAATAATAGATTGGTTGATAATTTTTAATATATGATTTTTAATATGTGTTTATTCTTCCTATAAAATTTTAATATTTATGAAAAAACAAATATTTTATAATAATTCGTAATATATATTCGAATTAAATTTATTATGTATAAATAATGGTAATTTCGTTTGTAGTAAGTAATAGCTTTTATAAAATGAACCTACCTATACAACATGTGATCGCTCTTTTCACTACCATTCCACTGCGCCAAACCTTTTAATTCGTTTGATTTTCGCATCCATGTCTAGTCGAGATTTCACCCTCATGTAAAATATCGGGCAGTCACGGCTGAAAATATATTTGAAAGTAACTATTTTGGAATATTATTCATATTTACTTTTCTATGTGTAAATATTGATTCAGTATTAATATATATATATACATATCCGTATTTAGAAAGAGTATTCCATATTAATTAATACAACTAACTTAGAGCATATAACTTCTTGATGGAGACTCCCTTGACATCTTTGGCATTCCGCCCACAATCTAGAAAACTTTTCTTCTAGTTTATGTTGAGCCTGCAACTCGTTGTGAAACAGTTCAGCCTCTTGAGGTTCACAATGCTTACATACTGCCTTGCCTTCTCTGTCTGGTGGTAAAACAGCCTTACAGCCTAAACATGTCTCTTTTTTACGTGTGAAAGCCGCAAGCGCTCCAACTTGCGAGGTAGCGATGCATCTTGTACGCGTATGATCTCCTTTCAGGAGAAGCGACTCAGCCTTGTCGCCGAGGATAGGTTCAAAGATACGTACAAGAGGTTTCGCCAATTGATTCTCCAGATAATAGTTCGTATCTATCGGGATACTATTATGCAGTGCGTATACGGGATCTTCTGCCTTTTGGTATGCCGGTGTGCCTTTAGCTGCGCTTGTGAACACGTATGCCACTCGGTCACCGAGTTTCGGTGCATTTCCAGCATCTCGTTTCTTCATCTTCGTCGCCAGTTCAACGTGCGCTTGTTTCGCCGCATAATCTGTCTTTGTCAGTTCCTTCGTGATGACTAATTGAGATAGATCGATACGATTACACAGAAGATCGCTAATGACTTGTTTGGCATAATCCACAGCAGCATGTGGATTCCTGTGTATAATATTATATATTATTTATTACTTTTTATCTATAATATATAAATACGACGACTTGGATAAAGCGTAAAAGAAAAAGTAATGTACCTTTCAATAAGCAATATTTGCAAACAAGTATTCATCATATTCGCTACCAATGGACAATTATCTCGGCGCACCGTTTCGAGACCTTTACAATCCATTTTATCATATTTATCAGGTTTCGTAAAATACAGACCAGCATAACGTTTTTTGTTGATTAAAAGATACGGAAAATACACTTTCTCAAACTCCAGCTTTATAGGCTTGATGAATTTAGATGTCACGTAATCAGCCGCTTCTTTACCGAGTTTCATTGCATCTTCTATATCTTTCACGCCAAACTTAACCATGACGGAATCAGTGTCACCATATATGACTACTGCGTCGTTTTTATATCCATTTTCCATTCGAAAGTGATCCTCCACTTCTTGCTTTGTTTGCTCTATCATAGTACGTCCATAAGCTGTAACGCTCTGCAATTTATGATATTACATTTATTACAAATATTTGGTACTTTATATGATATATATACTTTACAATGTTCTTTTTGTTAAATATGTTTTGAGAATATCGAGAACTTACAGCAGATATTTCCAAGCATGGTAATTTTCCCATCTGCGCACCTGTGAATCCATATACGGAATTCGCCGACACTTTCAAGGCGTATTGCCTGCCATCGAGTACTTTTTGCTTCAAAGGATCCGTTTCTTCCTTTAACTCTGCTTTTGCTTTTTTTCTAGCCGCCAATAGGTTTTCCAAAATCTCCGGAAGAATTCCTTTCCTCATTGCATTCTTAATAAATAACGATTTACTAGGAGTTGTGGTAATTTGGTCCTCTTGAATATTGAGTTCCTTCTTTTTAGCAACGGTTAATAATGTTGTGTAACATAAGTTGTGTGCCATAATAATGCTAGGATATAAAGAACTGAAATCTAAAGTAGCTATCGGATCATTGTAGTAGCCACGCTTAGGTTCAATGACAGTCGCTCCTTCGAATTGTTCGTCGGTACCATGACCCTGATGTACTGGCATCAAGTAATCCTTTTCCCTAGTCTGACATCAATAAATACACTTAACTGCCAATGTTACAAATATTTCTCTTTCCGTAATTATATCAATGTATTACCTTACGTAAGAGTTGAGAAACAACTTTTATTTGTTGCCCACGAGTCAATAAGCTAGAAATGGATACTCCTGTAACTCTTGCCATTTCCATATAGATAATAATACACATTAATTTGTCTAATAATCTAAGTGGTAAGTATGCATCCTTCAAACAGTATACAGCGAGACGTCGACGTGTCTGTGCATTTCCGTTTTGTAATCCTGTAATATCCTTGTGCTGAACATCTTCTTTTTGTTCTTGAAGAAAATGATATGATACAGCATTTAGAGTATAAGATCTCAGTTTATAATCTCGGACCAATACCTGAAAGCACATATATGTGTTTTTATTAAAACTGAGATATATATGTATATATAAAGAAAGAAAGAGAGAGAGAAGCACCATGTTTATATTTTATAGAAATTTTCTTACTAGCAATAAATCGAATGGGACTCTTCCTTCAAAATTAATTGATTTGTTCTCACGGCGACCCAGCTGTTTACTTTGCAGTACATGATCCTTGATTACAGATTTTATATTTTTTATTCGACCGAGGAAATTAAAGTTTTTAACATTGAGATGTTGCGCGCGATTAATTAAATATGGAAAGTCAAAATTGTTTATGTTATATCCCGTAAAAATGTCAGGATCTAATTGTCGCACGAAATCAGCCCATTTCTTGCAAAAGAAAATAATATCATTAATATAGATTATTAATACCTGGATATTTTTTCTACGATTTAATTAACTTACCTCTAACATTAAGTTTTCTTTTTCAAAACTCAGAACTTGGCAACCAACGATAGGCGCGCAAGTATCGAGAGTGAAAATATTTCTTAAAAACGGTTCTGACTCGCCCTGTCTTATGACCATGTTAGCAATTTGTATCACAGGATCATGTTTTGCTTCCGGAAAGATACCTGCAGAAAAGATTGGTAATTAAATTCATGTAATAAAAAGTATTAAAATTAAAGAAGAAAAAGTAATAATTACCTTCGCGTCCAGCGCATTCGATATCGAAACTGAGAATTCTGAATGGAGCTATTTTTGACCATTCTCCTTCTGGTGCATGAGCTATAAAACCATCCCATGCAACATCCACTTCCAATTGACATCTTGTAGTTAATTCTAACATGTGTCCATGCCGACCACGTAATTTCCAGCTTCCTGGTGGTAATTCAATCCAAGAACAGCCAACTACTGATGTATCAACCATGAACCTTTCATTTAATGATCAAATATAAAATTAACGTTGTAATTTCGATAAAAACGTAACATATAGAAATAATAAATATTATATTATGTCTACACTACCTGATATCAAAATCGATGTTACTTTCAAATGCTCTATAGTGGTGATTAAATGCAGTATACACTGTGTCTTGTTCTAATAATCTTTTACAAGGTGCTATCAATTTTGGGACTGCTACTGTAATTTTTAAAAATGGCAACTTATCATTTCCTCCATATCCATACATCGATTGTTTGTAGACTAATTCGACTGCTAGGATAGCATCTTGTATGTTATCTGGATTTGACTTCATATCCTTCTTTACAGCTTGATTAAGAGCTTCCTATATTCAAAAGATTCTAATGTTAATTATTTCTTAGATCAACAAAAAAGTTTTTTGTTAAAATAAACATACTTTAAATAGCCTGCAATGATTGTTCGTAAAATTTGATGGTGCTGATACAAACAGATAGGGACAAAAGCCATGGACATAACAACAGACAGAATTTCCTTTTTCCGTAACGCCAAACATTCTCATTATCGGTACAGGTCCTACTTTACTACCTGGCATTCCAGAAAGAGATTTACCTATATGCAATCATAAATTTTGCAATACTGATATATTTTTAATTGACAGAGTTGCTTTGTTATTTTTTTAATAATAAACATACACACACACACACACACACACATACACACATATGTATTAAAAATACATTGTTACCTATATAATGATCAATTTCGATTTGTTGAAATGCCAGTGTATCAATTTTTGGATTCAAAGGTGGTGGAGGAGCCCTACTCCATTTCACAGATGTATTTTCTTGTTCAGGTCCCTATATAAAATAGAATTATTAATAAATAATAAATATGTATACAATTACACATAATATAAAAAATTCAAATTACAAATTATATATTTATTTAAACAAAAAATTGATTTTAGATTAATAAAAATATGATTTAGAGAGAAAGACATACTTCTCCTATTAACAGTGTTTCATCTAAAAAATCTTCATCTGCAAGATCCATAGTGGCTAGTTCTGCCTCAAATGAGCTAGGTTTCTCCTCATCTTCATCTCTGTTTGATAAGATTAATATGCAAATTTTTTAATTTATTATATCACATAAGAAAAATATAATATTGTAGATATTTAATATCATGCAATTTTTCAAATAGTAGTTAAATACAAATCAATACTGGTTAATAAAAATTTATTATAAGCGTAAAATAATAAAAACAAATATTTAATTAGATTTATTATACATATTTATTATACATATACAGAAATAAAAACATATCTTTTAAATAAGACTAAATTATCAGATTTAGATAAATAGATATAAAACAAGCATATTCATTCAATTAAATGACATTTAAACAAGTATTAATAAACGTAAGAGTATTATGATAAATTATTAAATAGAGTTATAAGTACAATGGGGACAGAAGCATAGAGGTTAACAAGCATTAGATTCAATAGCGAGACGAATGGTTACCTAAATTTGGGCTTCTTCGCTGCTGAAGGTGTTGAAAACGATTTTCGATTTATTTTACTCATGTTTATGATTATAACACGTAAAAGACACACAAAATAAGAAGCTGAACTCTTGTCATGTAAAGGCGGGAACGGTTTACTTCGTTCAATGACTCAATTTGATTATAGTCTGCACTGTTGCACTTTAAAGTACATGAAAATATATGCAAAGAGTACATAAATATTTCAATAATTTAATAAAATATTTCATTTATAGCTTGATAAAAATGTGAGAATATTAGTATGAAGTATTTCTGATCAATCATATCTTTGCGCGTTGCGTTTTTCTATTTTAAAATAAATATCTTTGTTTATATGTCGTTCTCATTTGTAATGCTCCGGTGTAGAATAGTGTAATCTTATATTAAATTACAGGTTAGTAAAATTTGTGAAACAATATTCCCTAGAATTTATTTTATTAGGGATATTTTAAGAAATATATATATATACCAACCAAAAATGAAGCCGTTGGATATGCAGAAACCTAGGCCATCAGAGATTGATTAAAATATAGGACTATTTTTTTAATTCGTCATTTGCATTTAACTCCTGCTCATATTTAAATTTAAATTAATTCTATTTATTTCAAATATAAATAATGGATAATGAATAATTTTTAAATATAAATATTTAAAAATAAATATGATAAAAATATACTGAACATTAATAATAGTTATAATTAACAAAGTTAGTTTTGTATTAATGTAAATGTTACACACACAAACAGAAGAAATAATCACAAAATTATATAATATTAAGATCTAACAAATTTTAGTTTAGAAATTTTTCAGGAGAGAGACTCGGTTGAATTTTAATTAAATAATTATAACAACAACTTTCTAAATTAATTTTTAAATTAAAAAATAAATTTCGAAAAATGACACGTACTCACAATAATATTTAAAAATTAATGCTCGAGTGATTCTGTATAATTACCAAAATTAACTTCTTTCTGTTTTTCTAGATTTTTATTATTTTCATCAATCTTATTAAGCTTATATGTAGTAAATGATCAATTTACCGATTGTCATTAACGTTGTCATGAAATGACAATTTAGGCTCGAGAAATGTCAAATTTAAAACATAGTGATAAATCAACTCTGTATGTGACGCGCGTTCACTAAAATACGTAATTAATGAACTGGCGAATATTTCATAAGACTAGCAATGGGGCGTGACGAAAATAAAAACGAGATTGAAACAGATACGGACGATGACGAAGTTACTGAAAGTGGTGAAACCATTTCGACAGAAAGAAGTTCCAAAAATATCGGTACTTCTCCGTCTAAATTATTTTGCAAGTGGCTACCGAAGAAATATTTCAAATTCTTCTTCTTACTGCTTAACAGCATAGCTCTCGTGAGTATTAAGACATGGAAATCTTGGTAGAATCTTCTCAAATACAATTTATAGGTTCGAACAATTTAATTTTGAAATGTATATTTAAGCTCACAGGTGTAACGGCGATAACAATAGCTATCTGGATGTTGACTGATACAAACTTTACATATAGACTGCTCGGCCAGCAGCTTTTCATGACAATTTTATTAATTCTAGGAGTGTTTGTGTCTCTTGTAGCTTTTACCGGAATCATAGGAATCGTGAAGAAAAAAGAATATTTCATGATTTTTGTAAGTTGAATTAATGAAGCAAAAATATGTTCCGAAATTTGTTTTCTGATTTAAAATACAATATTATTGTATTATATTTTATCAGCCTGTTTGGATATAAATTAAGTATAAAATGAACAATTTAAAAATAGTCTGTTTTATATAACGCGCACGTATTTTATCTTTTAGTACTTAATGTGCCAATCAATCGCTCTCTGTGCTGTGTTTGTATATTTGACAATGAGTTTTCCATTCTTCGACAAGATTACGAAAAAGATTCGAGATGAGATGAGCAACTCTATGGAAAATTATCAGTCTTCAGATTGGGCTGTGAAAGCGTGGGACAATACTCATAGATATGTAAGAACTTTATACAGCATTATATTTTTCAATTACATATTCTTTGCACGTTTTACAATGATTCGTTTCAGTTAAAATGCTGCGGAATTAGATCATCCAAAGACTGGTTAGATCATCAAATAAGCATTCCACAAAGTTGTTGTTCTGTATCACTTAAACAGGTAAAAATTTCAAGTAAAAAAAATCTTTAAAAAATACATATCTAAATATTTTAAAAATAAAAATTAAAAATCTAAAAACTTAAAAATAAATAAGTCTTTAAAAAATATCTAATTATATAAAAGAAAAATCAGAATATTATATACATTATTATTGATACCAAATTCATGGTTGAGAAAATTATTTTACAAGTTACTTATGAGTAACTGTATTTATGTAAGGAGTAATTTAAAAAGTAACTTAATTATTATACCTTGATTAAATTGAATAAAGATAACTCTAAGTCCCGAAATAGATGTAGTAAATTTAAGCATTAAGAAACTGATCAAAATCATAGTTGGTTCTTTTCACATTTAATGGTTTTAGGAATTATATTTTAAATAAAATTATAGAGATATATCAAAATAGCTTTCTAAAGTTAAAAGCTTATACATCCGGTCTTAGTCATGGAAGGATTGCGCCAGTCGCGTCTTGATCCGTTTGCTGCCAAGTAGCACGTATTTTCTTTTTCATACCGGGAAATGAGTTAGTTGCGTTCACGCGCAGCGTACATCCGGTTGCGCCTAATAATATCCGGATCCCTTTTACTCTTCTCGGGAATTTTCTCTTTTTCCTGTTTCTCAGAAGTCACGACGACTTGTCATAATTTTCGGCCGATCAACTGCATTCCGGAACAAACTACTTCATCAGTAGATACAATTCCCAAATATACATGTTGAAATAGTTAAACAAATCAATAAACTATCGTATTTATTCGATGACCATATAATTATGATTACTGAACACATTAATATGTATTATTATTCATTCATTTTATTCGTATTAGCAATTTATTTAATTACTAAACAAATATATTATTATTATGTATGCAAAATCAATAGTGATTTGGATACAACCACTATAGTCAATTTGGAAATGAATAACAATTGATTTGAACATGGAACATCTGATTTTTATTTTTAGTGCCTGCACATGACAGATAATGTGTCTTATAAATCTGGATGCTTAAAAGGAGCCTATATGCTGTTAAAATCGTATGTCCAGACTGCCTCTATTTCAACGCTTGTCATATTTCCACTTCTGGTAAATTAAAGCTTATTACTTTCTTGCCTTCTTATTTAATAAATAATATAAGAAAAAAAAATTATTATTTACATATTTCAGTTAATCAGCGTGTTTTTAGCGTTTGGTTTACGAAAAAGATTGAAAACGAATCGATTAATGAGGGACGAAGCGACATATTTATGAAGACATCAAGGGTAAACGTGACTTACAAGTGAATGACAAGTCCGGTGAAACGTTTTCCCGTTTTTTATTATCATATATAGATCATATATTTTCTGAAAACACTTAATATATTGTACTTAAGATAATAATATTGTAAGTTTATTGGACATGCTGGTTGGATCGCCGTCTGCCGCGTGGCAGTGGTTCAAGTGGAAAAGTCCGTAAAATTACTCACTTCCCCGGCGCTTCTACGATGATCATCGAATCAGGATGTGTTTTTTAACACGCGGGGGAGAAAGGGGAGGCGAAAAAATACATTTATAAAAATTGCTCGTGACCATCGTAATGCTCTCGTTTACGGAAGGGTTCAAACGGTATAAAGGGAGGGGAGTATCTGATCGAATGGCGGGGGATGAGTTCTTCCTTTTTTTCCCTTCCTTTCCCTACGATAAAATATAGAGCGTCTTACGTGAAATCGATTGCCTGTCGATGCGATACGAAATATTGACGTAGTGATAATTTAACGCGCGCGATGCACCTGTCTTTTTCTCTCCATTAATCTTCTCGTCTAAATTATCGCTAAACGACTGCGGCAGTTCGACACCGCGTTTATGTATAGCGTGTGTGCGTGTGTATGCTGTATCCGTGTGTTTGCGCTTTATATAATGTATATCCTGTACTTCGTGTATGGGATGTATACGGATTCCATAGCTGCGGGAATAGGGTTGTGGGAAGGACAGAGGGCTTTGGGCGCAGTTTCAGGCAGGTTCCCATCCAATTACAGATATATTATATCATAGCAAACATCGTGACTATTTACAATAAATACAGTTGATTAGGTTATATAAATAAAATATATATAATATCGTATCGTTAGGTTTAGGTTTACAGCAACACGTGACAGTAAACAATTAGATCAGCGGCAAAGTAGCGTTAATCTATCTAAGGTAGTGGTCGTAGTAGCTTTAGCGTGACTGACTCTTCCGTTCGCTTTTCGCGCTCGCTTAATCTTCAATATATATCTCTCATTTTCACGCTCTCTTTCTTCCCTTTCGTTCTCGCTCTACATTTATCGCTCTCTCGCATCCTGAACTTCCCGTTTCACGTTTCCGAATTCTTTTTTTTACCCCCTTCCCTTTTTTTTCGGCGTGGCGAGTCGCGCTCGAGAACCAATCGCGCCGCAAATTCGTGGATCGACGGTTACTGCTATAATTGGCCACTCTAGCTCCTCTCATGTGTACATATATATATATATTTATATTTCTTCTCAATATATTCATATATATTTATATTTATTTATTTATTTCACATAATCATTATTTCTTCGCGCGTTCTACTTCGTTTCTTTTTATTTATTTATTTATTTAGAGAAGTACGTGGAGTTGTCGCGATCCCCCGCGGACGGTCACGGGGAACGAACGAATCTGGAACGAGTTCGCAAAAACGAGAGATGAAACTTCACGGAAGTTAGAGTGAATTTTTTTTTCTAATATTATAATCGCGTAAGACGGGGTCGGGCCTGGAGTCGACTTTTTGGGGTCTCCCCGCCCGTACGACATGTATATCGCGGCTACCTGGCCCGCTCATTAATTTGACACGTGATATTTAAAAAATAGTCGATTTTTCTTGAACGCACTGTTGCCGGATCCAACAGCGGATAATGCGGTTAAAGATCAAGAGGGCAGTGTGAAGGGCAGTGGGAGGAGCAGGTGTGAGGGGATTGGTTGGCCAAAGGGAAACGATGAGTGTTTAGATATGCACGAATGTCGAAGCACTCCTATTTCGCTTATCTAGAGAAAGCAGAAGCTCTCGGAAGATTAACAGAAATCACCGTCAAATATTATTCTCGCGAAATTACCTGCACCATTGCTGAAAGACGGTAGCTGTCTCATTGTTACAGTTGCAATAACTGGATAGAGTCATTTAATATAGCCGAGGGTGTTGTATTTATTACTAAATTTAAACGCGATTTTAAAGCGATTGCTACTAAGAAATTGAATTTAACAGTCACAGTAAATTACTCGAAATTGACTAATATTAATTAATGATTCCATGAGATTTTGGTTATTTTCATATATGAGTCTTTCCTAAAGAGTAAAGTTAAAACAAAGTGAAATATAATTGCACGTCGGTTACGCTTAGATAAGCGAGGGAGGAATGCGGCTCGACGATCGAGCCCGTTCACGCGGCCGTCTGCCAGAGAAACGCAATGATGAGCAACGCGCGGGGATAGATATTTACGGCGCGATTTTAGTGTAGTAATTCCGTTTTCGCATGTCGTTTCGCGCGTGCGAACGAGGACTTGAAATGTACAAAAAGGATCACCCTTGCGGCCTCGTTGGCACGTGCGAGCGCGCGTGCCTCCGACAGGAGGAGTTCGTCTTGGACCGCGGTTTAAAATTGCCCAGGCAACACGACATCGTAAAAGAAGTCGTAAAGACGGCCTAATTTTTCAGACATCGTTTGACTATCTCTCGGAAGTCTTTCACGATTTTGCGTTGTTGGGTATTATAGGTCTAAACACTTGCTCGAATTAGAAATACATTACGAAGCTTCCCTAAATCATTCTCTCTCTCTCTCATTCTTTCTTTCTCTCTCTCTATATATATATTTTTTTATACACTCAGCATATAGATAACATTTTTTATTCTTCATCTATTCAGACAGCAATGTCGTTGTGCCACTAACTATCCATAAACGGCACCGTCTCTAAAGCCGCGTTGCAAAATATCAATGGCGAGTACGAACGTTCGTAGAGACGCGAAAAAACAATACGTGCAACAAATCGACAGATCTGGAATCTTCATGGAGTTTGGAAGGTGAAGGGGAATGAGAGGAATGGGAGAAGGATTGATAGGATGATAATAAAAGGAATTTCCGATGCTAAGGATGGTTCGATGCACGTATATGGGTCTTTGTGCGCGGGCGATCGGCGCACACGCACACACATTCACATACATACATACACACACACACATACACATATACACGGGCGAAACGATCGTTACTTGACGGGCAGTAATTTTGGATACACATACTTAGTATTTTCGGTAAGGAAACATAGTTAACCGTTACGTTCATATCCAGCAAGCACAAATATGCGATATTGTATACGTATTATTTTTTTACCGATAATGAGTTTATCCCTCTTGCAAATTCCTCCCTTTCCGGTTTATACGCAGACACAGGGTTCGCACGCCCGGCTCGCATTTCCCTCCGCGATCTTCGAGAGTCATCGGAGGATACCCACCGTCGATCCCGAGCGACTATCTTCCCGCACACTTGCGCTCACGACAATGCGATATAGATCACCGATCGGCGACGATCAGGAACGCTTACGCTATGGATAGGACACATCCACATGTTAAAAATACGTTTAGTCTCGCTATTGGTATTCGACGACCTCATGCACGCTCATCCTCGCTCGATCATCGCTGATCCTCTCACTCCGCCTCTCTTTCACTCTCTCCATTCTCTCGCCATACAAGAAAAGCACCACTTTATAATACAAATTCGTCTCGTCCTTAATTGTCTAAAGCCGCGAACGGAATTCAAGCTCGAGACCGCACGATCGAGTCCGCACGATCGTTGGCTCCTAGTCCTTCTTCAAGGATACCGTGAGGATACCGTCTCTCCTCTGGTTCCTCTTCCTCAATCCTCTGCCGCTTCTCGCTAGGGCCATTCATGGTTGAGATTTATTTCCGCGCTCGCTGCCGCTTTCTGCATTCGTATTCGTCATCGCGCGTACTTGCATCACACCCGCCGTTGCTCTTTTTCTAAGTACGACGTTAAAATATCGTGAGCAGGGCACACACGTGGCTCGTCAACGTCGTCGTCAACGGCATCGCTCCTCCCGATTCTCACTATCCTCGCATTTATCCTACGCCGAAGAAGGCTGCTATGTCAATGTAAAGCTATGTATTGACTAGTTTCTCTCACTCTCTCTCTCTCTCTCTCTCTCTCTCTCTCTCTCTCTCTCTCTCTCTATCTCTCTCTCTCTCTCTCTCTCTCTCTCTCTCTTTCTTTTTTCGTCGCTCTCAACTATGAATGGCCTATTCTTCTCTCTCCTTTCTCCTCACTCTTCGTGTTATAACTATAATTACCTTGTATCGATGCGGTGTACCGTGTACGATTCACACGTGCGGCACCACGGTCTATCATTTACTTTAGGCCTCGAGCGCAAGCTCCACGAGCTTGCCGGCCTTGCCTCGTACGAACGTAATCAGAAAATTCCACATTCTGGAATTTAATTCAAACCTGCAAGCTGGTTATTAGCTGCGTTCACGTCGCGTCAAACTCCCAGAGGAAATTTCGCAATGTTCCTCCTCTTTCCCTTCCAGGCTCGCATGGTCCGAAATCCGATACACTCTCGATTCTCATTCTTTCCTCTCTCGACGTCGCTTATAAGGCTTTCGCGGATTTGCCAATCGCGGATCGGTCGCGCAGCTGGTCCGTGGAGCGAATACTCGATGAAATCAGCGTTCCTCCGCGTGCGCTTAACGCTCTTACATCCTACGTACCCTATACCTCGTGGTATATATATTTATTATATATAATATAACGTTATAGTGTTTTTGGCATCTTTGAAATACACAAATAGACTTTGGTATAAAACTTTTTGATAGTTTTCAGTACGTTTATATATATGCGCGTGCATACATATACGGACGCTGCGCATACAGCGTGCTACAGCGGCATTTTTTTATCTCCTTCCGTCGACTTTCACGTTTCCGGTTTCTCTTTCTATCTCTTTATCTGTCGGTGTCGCTCACTCGAAAGTCCCGCGGTTTCGATACTGGACAATGTCCCCGCGCGAGGGGACGATACGACTGACTTTTAAATCGCTCTAGCACATTTTATCTAACCACCAAAGCTTACAGGACGGCACGCCTCTCCTCCTGCGTCGCTTCTTGCTCGACTGGTCGACGGCCTTCTTCACGAACCTAATGTTGTAGGGATCCTCCGCGAGCTCGGGATACTGTTGTGCGTCGTGTATGTACTCGCCCTCGTAATTGGATGCAAGACCAACTTTCAGTATCTCATCCTGCTCGGCAACCATCCATTCGACGGATGTGGGAGTGTTCGTTTTAAGGGCTTCACGTTCCCGGTGCCATGCCTTCCTGATAGCGGTCGCCTTAGCGTGATGCAGTAGCCTCTGTTTTTCCTTCTCCGCCGTGGTGCCGTAACGCAAATTCACCACATAGCTGGCACCGTGTATTTTCACATCGATTAGTGAACTACTGCCACTGCCATTCTCATTCTCGTGGAATGTGGTGTTTACCTGACCTCCTAATCGTTTCAGCTGACCACGATCTTCGCTGGCACGCCAGGTTTCCTCTTTAACGAAGTAGAAGGCGTCCTGCTGTGCGCTGTGCACGACGAACGTAAATGGCAGAAAGTACGAGCGGTTGAACACGGACGTGAACACGTCACCATAAATAGCGTTAGCGCTGGGTACACTGGACACCACTGCCTGGCCATCGGCGGTTCTCGACACCAGGATACCCTTACCGAAAGGCGGATCAGACGCCGCACCTAGACGACTGGGTATCAGCTCGCTCGTGTCCTTCTTCAAGGCTGACCGTGGTGGCGCGGACAGGCTCACCGCGTCGCCCGAATGCCTCTGGGCGATGTGTGCGAGGAAACCGGATTGGACACCCAAATTGCGCGTTCTTTTCTTCTTACCGAATATAGAAGTTCCAGGACTGAGCGCTCGCGGAACAAGGCTTTCCGGTAGCTCATCCGGAAATAGCTGTGGCGCTAAACTCTTCAGGTCGTATCCGAGATGCGACAGCCATGATATGTGATCTGCAAGATAAAAACATGCCAAATGTATTTATATTGATTAAAATCGAATAAAATGTAAATTGATTTATCGATGATATTGTAGAAACTCACCAGTCGGTTGACTTGGTCTGTCCGTATGCCTAACGTCAATTGGATCGTTACCGTTAAATCTATAAAGATGTAGGTGCGTTGGTTTGTCTACGCGATCCAAAACGTTTTCCCAGAGCGGTGACATCCACTGGCCTATTAGCGGGTCGTAAACCTTACCATTTGGCATGTGAACGAGAGAAGTGACCTATAAATAAAGACCACACGATTAAAATATGAAATACAGTGAAGAACGTTTCAAATTGCATTTGACTTTAAATAAAAATTTTATTATTCTATGTCATTATTTTTTATTTTGTTAATTATTAAATAAGTAGAATTAAATTTTTATTTACCTGATCCAGAAGTCCTCCACAGAAGTCAACTGGTAAGTAAAGATATGGATTCGAATCGTAAACGATGTGGCCGTAAGGCGATCGCATAATTTCTCTGATGCCTTCGCCGTACTGATTAAAGATCATAATGGGTGTTCCACACTGATCAGTGGCAATGTAATATTTGTGCCGGTATACTTGTGCATAAATGAGATGTCCTCTGTCATCGTAAACTAGCGACATCAGTTTACCATCGCGCGGGCTGTATATCTGACTCACTTCGTGCGGCCGTTTTTGATTGTTGTAAAAGAACTGCGTGACATTGCCGTAATTGTCCTTCCTCGTGGCTAGGCGATCCAGATGATCGTAATAGTATCGCACGTCGAAACGGCCGCGTTTGGTGGCGCGCACGAGGAGACCCTTGGCGTTGTAATTAAATCTCTCCTCTCTTGCATTCTGCACTACCAGACCTCGGTTGTCGTACTTATAGAGACCTTCGCCAAACTTGACTATTCGGTCCATGGCGTTGTATTCCATTGGGATCGTGTTACCTCGATATGTGAGCGACAGCATATTGCCGTTGGCGTCGTACTTGAAACCCCATGGCTCCTGTGCCTCTACACCAGTTAACTGACCGTCGCAATCCCATGTGTAATTCTTTACGTTGGTGTATGTATTAACGGCAACGTTACGCGTATACGTTCTCGTCTGATTGATGCGACCGCGCGAATCATGTGTAAACTCCATTCTGAACACCTCCATTCGGTGGATTGTCACTGTGACTTGAGTTTCTAGAAATCGATCGTCTGTGGTACGCGAAAACAGTGCGGTACCGTCAAACACGGTCGTCTCATTCGACTGCGGCCTCGTCACTTTAAATTGACCGATTTGCTCCAACGTACCCGACCTCGGACTATAAGCCATGGTGTGTGGTGGCAGTGTCTGACCGCCTATTCTACCCTGTACCGCGATCAAGCGGAAGTTCGAATCGTATTCAAACGTAAATTTGGCGTTACTTAAGCCAGTCTTGGCGCCGAAATCTATTCGCTCCTCCACTAAAAGTCCTGCACTATATTGATAATCCCACTTGTACTCCACGTCCCTTTCGGAGTGTATCACTTCGGAAGGTAGTCCACTCTCTGTGTATCTGATTTCGCTTTTGCCATCGCCGTGAACAACCTCCGCCAATTGTCCCGAGGTATGATATCTGAAAACGATGCGAGCTCCGTCTCCCGGAAATACAGTCTGTAACAGGTTTCCTTCGTGACTGTAGTGTTGTAGATAAGCTCTAGTACTGCCAGGTGGAGTATATGTCACCCTGAGGAAGCCGAGAGAAGCTTGACAGGAGAAGGAATGTTTGGTTTCAGACGGTAAAATGATATGTCGTAATCCACCGTCATCATCATATTGCAACGAAAACTGCCTGTTGCTGGCAAGCGTGATCTTCGACAGCACATTGAAGTCGTTGTAGGTGTACCGTTTTGTGCCGTCCTTGCTATTGGTGATTTCCGCCAGTTGACCGCGCCGATCGTAAGCGTACGATTCATCAGAGGCACCCCATTTCCAGCTGTCGATTCTGTTAAATCGATCGTAAGTAATGCTGAGATTGTGACCCTGTTCGTATGGTTGCCAGACCAAGGGTAGACCGGCCAGGTCGAAGGTCACCGTCAATAGGGGAGTTCCCGCCTTATCATAGAACGTCTCGCGGCTGAACGCCTGCTCGAATTCGACACTTATTACTCGTGTGTCATTCACCCAGATCTCTCTGTTAAGCGTTTGCTGAGGATGGCTAACTTCTCCAACCAAGTTATACGTTGTCGTCATAGTGTTCGTTAATTCGCCTAATGACATCAATTGATAGCTCCACATAGGCAGCATCTCCGCTTCTACTGGCAAAGCTGGTTTCAATAGCGGATGTTTTGTTGTCGCCGCGCTTAATATTCTACCACCACCGGGTAAAAGCACTTCCAAGCTGCTGTTCGTAAATGCAATCGCTTTCATAAGCTTAGTGCCTGAAAATAAGAAACGAGACATTAGAATAATATTTAATCATATTTGCAAAAATTCTCGATATATATTTATATATCAAGAAAAATTGATTGTAAACCGAAATTAATTAAATTAGAAAAAATACATACCGTCAGTAACTGTCAACATCTTCGACTTTTCATTTTTCATTTCAAATTCTACGATTCGTTGTTTATCGCCTTTAGATAAAGCTTGCAAGGGAGCAGATACTTTAACCAATAGACCTTCATCGTCAGATAAATCCGATAATAATTTTAATTTTTCGCCTGTCGGCAGTATTACATCGGTGACACGTCCCAGACTGTCGTAATTGTATATATATGTTTCATCTCCCTGAAATTTTAACAACGCATTGCGTTTCATCAACAAGAGATATATACATATATAATTTATTAACAAAAAAGTCTATTAAATTTTTTCATTATATATCATTAAATAAAGAAGAGAGAATAAATATTCGATCAATGTGGAGACAAAACCTATTCTTTATTAATAAAAATGAGCAATAAAAATTTTCAACTTACTCCTGATCGACTGGTGAGCAAACCGGTTGAACCATCATAACCGAGAGCAATCTCTGCCCTGCCGCGTTCGGACAATTTCTCCAGGAATCCAACCGCGGAGATTTTCAATTCAGATTTATGATCCTGAGTGTTTTCAATAGAGCTAACGACGCTGCTGTAATCTCGCAAAAATTGAATCTTATTGCCGGCGCTGTCCGTCACCGTGGACAACTTGCCGAAACTCGTGTTCTTGCTATACAGGAAGGAGTAACGGGTCTTTCCCGACGTCAAGTCCTTCGTGGAAATGTGTTGACCGTAGCGATTGAACACGTAGATCTCGTTCGAAGGCGGGAATGGAATGCGGAACTCTCCGTTTTCATCGTGGTTCGGAAGGTACGGCTGGAGAGCCAGGATATGAAGACTGCCTTGATCAGCCACGTGCAGGACACCGTCCGGCGAAACCGCCAGAGCAGATATTGCAATAAATTTGGCGTTTGAAGAGAGAAGCGTTTCGGTGCTGCTAGTATCGTCCGTACAGGTGCATGTGTCCAAGTCCTTAGTGCTGGGTGTAGTATTGTTACATTCGCATTGACGCAGTCTTTCCTGCTGTTGACCAGCGAAGTGTGACATCTTGCCAGAGGAATCGACGATTCTGATAGAGTTCACTCGATGAGAATCGCGATCCGCTATGTACAATTCGCCGGTTGGACTGAAACCGACAGCCAACACCGTCCCGAGGACCTCATCTGATTTTTTCAGATTCGCCGTCAACGAGGAGTTTAGTTTCGGAAGTTCATCGTTGCCATTGTTGTTATTTGCATTGCTGGTACAGTGAAGAGGCGTGCCAGCGACTACACGCACCTTCAGATCGCTGGTGAGTTTCAAGACTAGCCTGTCGTCGATAAAGTGCAGGGATCCATCCAATGGGCTTAAGGTTAATCCGGTGGGCCATTGTAACTGAGCCTGATGTGCGGGAATGGCTCCAATGCAGGGAGCGGGTGACCAATGATTATGATGACCATGATGTCCCACGAGAGTATGTATGATTCCTCGAGGATCGACAGCACGAATGTTCGTTCCATCGGCAATATACATCGTTTTATCGGCCGCAATTGCGATTCCTGTAAATCATAATAAAAAACACATATTTTAAAATTATCTTTTGCAAGTAATCCTTTAATTCTTTGAAACAGAAACGATAGCGCGCGCTTTCTAATAATAAAATTTAAAGATCTTGTTATGTAAGAGTTATCGAGATGAATTAAATTCAGTCCTAAAAATTAGATAAAAAGGACTAATTTAGTTATCGTGAAACTCAATTTTAGAAGATTCCTGTTATCTGAGTTGGAATGAAGTTTTCAAATTTCAAATTCCAAAAGAATAGTAATCTGCTGAAGATGGTATAGTGTTACAGAGTTCGTAATCAGGATTCAGAAGTCAGACTGGAGAAATCAGTATTAACTATGCATAGCACTGATGAACTTCAAATAATGCAAAACTAAAAACTTGATGTTACCCTTTGCAATTAAAAATTTCTTAAAAGAGCTTTATATTGTATGATAATCAGATTATTTTTAAAAAATTCTTTTCACTATATTGAATTCTATTTAAAATTCTTTATTCTTTATCCGAAACTCAAATAAATTATACCTTAAATCTTTCTATAGACAATAATCTGAAAATAAAAGAAGGTGATCCAAATGGAATTGCTCATCCACAAAATGTTAATTCTCAAATGTTCCGGTATATGTTCGTTATTTTATAAAATTATCATTTTAATTATTTTAAATTATTTTAATAGCGCAGGTGTCTTCCAAAAAAATGACAGATATATTTAAATTGTCCTTCACCTTTGGGATGAGCCAATTTTGCGTGAATGGCCGGACCTTCGTCGCCGCAGTGGCCCTCATCACCTGGAATACATCTCTCACCGCTTCCAACAACGGGCTCGATATTAATGCTTGGATCTTGGACTTGTTCCAACGAGAGTGCTTTCAATATCTGATGTTTCTCTGGGTCGCTGATATACAAATGTCCATCAGCCGGTGAGATGCACAGAAAATACTGATACGCCACTTGAGTCGCACTGTAAAAAATGGGACGCGTGTTTAAATTAAATATACTATCATTGAATTTTCGATTCGAAAATCTTGCGGAAAACTTACCTCAAAATCAGAACGGTGTAAACCTTTCCTTCAGGCGTGATTCTGCGCACGAGATTGAAATCTCCGACATATATGCTGCCGTCAGGTCCACTGGCAAGTGTCACTGGTGTTAGGAGTCTAGCATCTTTAGCGAGACCGTCGCAATTCTGACACACCAAACTTCTTTTGAGACCAGTGCCCATTACCACTTTTACAGTGCGCGGATACTGTTTGAAATGTAGAGTAGAGCCATCGCCTTTCTGCAGGATTCCCTCGTGGAAGTTGTAATGGTGATGGATGTCGAGTCCCCATCCACCGATATCGGAGATATCGACGTCGAATCCTTGCAAAGTGGCCGTCTGCGTCTCCCATATCACCAACGGACAAGTGGAATGTTGATAGCCGATCGAGATCCTCGCCTGCGCCACGCCGTACACCTTCTGCTTGTAAACGTTTCTCTTGTTCCAGGCAAACGTGTGTGTCAGATTCGGGTCGGCCTCGTACGTTTTCGTGTGAAGCGAGCCCTCGATCTCCACGTGCACGTGTACGTGCGTCAGCGATTTCGGAATGAACGGCCCGGTCAGTTGCATCCTCACGGTAGAGAGATAGCCCGCAGCCTGACTGCTTTGATACATCAAGTGGAGATTGGAGCCCGGAATAGCGATGCTTTCCTGCACGATCTGCAAGCGATGTTTAACGTTGCGTTAATGCGGTCACATAGTGCTGTAATCTCCATCGTAAATATTGTTACATTCATGCAGTGTCCTTTGATGCACCTCTTCAAAAGCATCTGTCTCACGTAATATGTGTATAATGAGATTCGTTATTGATTTTATATATAAAATTTATTATTTAACTTTTATTATTTTAGTTTAAAATCTTATGTTCTCTCCTTCTCTCTATGCTTGCGATTCAGGCGTGTTAAAATTTCGGTAATCAAGATATAATAATTTGTCATTAAAAAATTTCATCTTAACTATGATGGCGAAGTCAAGATTGTATTTTGATTATATCTCGGAGCCCAAGATATATAATAATTATATTATTTAAAAATTTCATCCTAACTATGACAGTAAAGTCAAGATTGTATTTTGATTAAAGCAACGAGCGTGTTATAATGATATTAAATCGTTTACGAAGTAAAAACTTACTTGACTTTCAGCAAAGACCAAGCTCTTCCCAGGCAAACCGCCAACTTTCTCAGGCATCCATGTACTAACGATAATCGGCCTCAGTGTCTCGTGATCGTGCTCCAAGCACGGACCGTGCTCGCTAAAGAGTCCCATCGAAATCCCTGGGAAGCCTATTATATTGTACTCCGTAAATGATAAGAAACTCAAAAATGCATAACACTCAAGGACGGAACAAAGACGGCACACACGTTGAACAATTCTGAAAACGAGGGCCCTGTGAAGATTGCACGAGTAACGGGCGCGCGATCGCGATGTGATCGTGAAGAATAGTAATAAATTACTTACACCATTTTTTTAACGGAACTTTTGCAAATAATAAAAAAATGTGCATTCGCTACTTTTGTTATCTCTTCTTTTCCCTGCACGCTGGGATTGGTTTCAGGTGATCGAGCACGTACGCGCGTTTATCGAAACGTTTGTGACGTTAATGGGTAACGCGATCCGACACGTAACACGATGAGATATATATGTACCAGGTCGACCGACCAAAAAAAAAAAGAGAAAAAAAGATAAAAAAGGAAAAAAAAATCCGTAATACATATCCGAAGCTCGATGCTTACCAACTGCCGGGCTCGGCGGCTGGTTAGATTTATACGATTCGCCTTCCTTGCTGAGAATCATCACAACGGGTGGCAGGACTACGATCTGATTCCAGGGTACGAAGACGGTCCTCGTAAGAGGTTTGAAGGGGCTGCGCTGGAATTGAAGCGTCACGGCGCCTCCACCATTGACCAGGACGTCGAACCTGATCAAAGTACGTAATGCATTTCGAACTCCATTGCCGGTATTACGTAAGAATCCCGACGTAGGTCGATCAAGATAGTGCGCTCGCTTTATCCGGGAATGAATGTCTGACGAGGCCTTAGAATTGGAACGCAAAGTGTCTTGCAAGTTTCTTCATCTTACTTGATTAATTTTCTAAGCACACACAGAGTAGTTACTAATTGGCAAAATTTTGAAACATTTTCTTGTACAAAAAATTTACCTCGGTTGCAGGAAATAACAAAAATATTTCTGTTGAAAATGATACATCTTTTTATTTTGTTTTTCAGAAACAAAGTTGTGTATGAAACTCTTCCAGTGAGATATAAATAATTATTAAAAGAACAATAATAGCCTTTTTCAAAGTATTAACGAGATGTGTAATTTTTAAAACTTGTTTAAAGGATTATATATTATGATTATAGTCCTATTTATTGACGTGAACAATGAATGAAGTAGATTTTTATTTATACGTGCTTTGTAATTTCTTCCTTTCAGCCCGTTCGTTATTTAAGTTTGTACCTAGATTCAAAAGTACGCTATGGAATTTAATGAAGTAATATCCCTTCTCATATAAAATTACTGGCTTTTTTTTCTATAAAAGTTGTAGCGTGGAAACAAAAACTGCAGAACATATTTTTAACAGGATTTATAGAAGCGCTGTACTTATTGAATTTTATTTGTAGTTAGATTGAAAGTTCTCATTGAACTATTTAGAAAATAATTTTCATACACATGTGTGCACACGTTTATAAAGACAATTTTTTTTTAATAAAATGAAATATTTTACGAGATTGCTTTTCTTTTATACTGAAAAATAATTTCTGTATTTTACATTTCTGCAAAATTTCGCGTATTAAAAATTTGATTATGTAGAAATTCGCAAAATCAGATAACGTTAATACATGGCAAAATTATTACGCGATGAAAAATTCGTCTAAGTTGTAATGCGCTGTAACGATATTATAATTTAAGGCGCGTCAATGAATGGAATAATACGTACGCGCTTGTTATTTTGCATTTATGAACATTAATTACGAGTAGGCGCGGTGTTCCGGTCGTTGGATTAATATGAATTAAATTGAAAGAGAGAATGCCTGTGAAACAAAGTTTCGTAACGAGTAGATTCGGTCAATATATGCGAATGCATTTCGACGATCCGCGATGCATCGAGGGCCATGGACCGAGCCGTGGTACCGTGGGTTTGCACGGAGTAATTAGTAAGCTTTCGACATCATTAGCTCGGGCTTTGATGCGGTCTAGTATCCCAACTCCTCCGCTTTCCTGTTTCAGAATTATTCTCGCCAGGATTGCTGTATACCCTCGCCTGATGTAGTCGTTCCCGACTACATCCCCCTATCCCTCCCCCTTTCATTACAATGCACAGCCTTGATACTATCGCGCAGGACGTCCAACCCTGGTCCTACATGTCGTGCTCATCGTATGTGCAAATGCTAATACAACGATGATGATGGTTGTGCGTATATATGTGTGTTGACCGTCGTTATAACTGTAAACGGATGTAACACGGATGAAACAACGGGCGTAACTCTTTCCACGAATCCCTTTCTATCGCCGGTAATATATTATCCGCGATAGTACTGACCCACTTATTTCACGCACGACACTCAAGAATAATCAACAATTAGCAGATACGGATTTAAGATATAATGGCTCTTCAATGTTCTCAGAGCGCGATGGTAATGCATATATAATAATCTGGATTATGACCGTGGTATCCATCATTTATGTTATGGATGTCTGTCATTAATCGTGCAAATCCCTCTTTCAAAATAATATTATGCCACAGTAATAACTACATCGGCTTAAAATACGAATAGCATAATTGCCTCTACGTGTGTAATAGTGAAATATTAATACGAATTACTATCCATTACCATATCTATTAGGGACAAACCAAAATACACGTTTAAAATCATTTATATCATTTATACACATTCATGAAATTATTCCAATTTAGGCGATTCATCTAACTTTTAGGTTAAAAAGTAAGTCCATCTGAAAGTAAAGTCTTTTAATTGACTTGATATTTGGATACGCACTATGATAATCGACCTTGATTTTTTTTTAACACATCACAGAGTCTTAAAAATCATTATTTGACATTTTAATAATAATATTTTGCATAAAGGTTTGCAAAATAAATTTGCCACTGGCGTCTCTAAGAATTTCATCCTTGCTGTAAATTTGATCGTTTTAATTTAGAAAAAGTAATAACTTTATCTTATACTGTTAGATATCAAAGAGGACAGCAATAATAACCCATAATTCTTTAAGTTAAAGAAGTAATAACATTTTGTTATTTTTAACTTTTACATGTATCAAAATGTTAATCAATCCATTCTGTGATTAAATTGCTTAGTTTCAACAGTAAACAACGTCTATATTAACAAATGTACTTAGTGAATAATAAATTAAATTTGAGTTAAAGTTAACATATTTTTGAGTTAAACGAATTGACTCTATGTTTTAGTTAAATTAATAACATTGATTATTGAGTTAAAACGGTAAAAAGATATAGAAATGATTAAAACTAATCCAAATTGTGGATATAATTTGATATGAATTTAACAGTGTATAATAATCGTATTCGACGTGAAGCTGGGTAATATATAGAATAAATGGAGTATTGATCCTTACCATCCGTCTGTTCTAGTCAAGGTGAATCCAAAGCGCGAGTCTCTGTCCACGGACACTCTGATGCCTACTATTCCGAGTCCTTGTTCGGTAACAACTTGGCCTCGCATCACCGCAACTCGACTGTTACAAATTACAGATATATCGAGGTCCACCGAAGTGGGATCGTTTCGTCGACCCATTAATCCGCGCAATGCTGATTTAAAACGAAGCATTCTCACAATTTACATCTATCTACGATCGGAATGCAATTTTGATCGGTGTGCGCGTTGAAACGAAAATAGGTACAATTTTGTAAAAAAAAAAAATTATGAATTTTCATGACGTTCCGTTCGAAACATTGTTTGTAACTTAAATATAAATATATTGGAATTACATTTCAAAATATCTAACCACAAATACCATCATAGAATTGTAAATTAACTTTCAATTTTGAAATAAATGTCATATACTTTAACAATTTTTAGTTTAATTATTTTCGTAATGATCAATACACTTTACACTTTCATAAGATTGATTCGAAAGCAATACGGTTAAATTATATCACGATTCAATTTTCTGCGATCTCACCGCGAACAACGACAGCACTGTTAATGCCCACTTAGTGCCTGCCTAATTAACGGGTAATGCGATCGTACTACTCGGCCGATGCACGACCAGTGTCTTTACGCGGGCGCGGACGCGAGCAATCGATTTCGCCTGTTAAATCAGCTTCCGCGGTCAACGGTTCAATGCGATCCAATATTCTCACTTCGCTGCCAATACAATCCGCAACTCCATTCGGCCGACATTCGACGGCCGCGTTGCCACGTACAAGGGAAGCTAATGCCTCTGGCTGAATCGAGGAGCGATACAAATTGATTTTACAAATAGAACAATGCCGCGTAGGCGAGGGGATGCCGGAATGGGTAAGAGGGAGAGTGGAGCGGGTTGTGGCGGGTTGAACGGCGGGGGCAGCGGAACACGCGCAGTGCGTCGACGATGCATTGTGCTCGCGAAAATCAGCATTCGCGGTGGTGGCGATGGCAGCGAGGCGGGAACATTCTTTCTCGGCACTGACTTTCAGGATTTTCAGAGACCAGAAAAAAAAGGAGAAAAAGAAGATGAAAAAAAAAAAGAAGACATAATACTCCGTCCCGAAGCGAATGGATGAGAGTATAGGAACGGGGAGGGAGAGAAGGAAAATTCGTAGGGAAATTATCTCGTGAGAGAGTAAAAGGCATGCAGTCATGTTATATAGATACGTAGTAGGCGTGAGATATATGTAATATGTAATATAATAATAGAACGTATCATATGAACTTTTCGTGGATGGAATTGAGGGATCGGAGAGAAATGGATGTACGAGGCCAGGAAGGCTGGACTCTCAGCGAGAGAAAGTTGAAATGTTTTGAAGCTGAATATTTTAAGCGATTCGTGTATAGTGCTGAATATAATGAGGTCGATGTATATAGGTACGTAGATAATATATATAATGTATATAAGAGATATATGCGACATGTCGCATGTGTGTATATAGCTTGTTACACCACCCGTTGGGCCGGCCGAGTAACGAATGTAACGCGGCACGTGCGACATGACCTACGGTCCTCCGCGCCATGTAACAAGCTATATACCCATTTATATGCATTCGGTATGTAGATATATATAGATATATATATATTTATCAGTCTCTAAGGGATTGCGTATGGGGGCATATTCGTTCTTGGAGGATCACCCCAACGCTCCGTGCAACATCGATGGTTACAACGTTACACAACATAAGACCGTTTCTACTTATCATAATTATCGAGTTAATAAATTTCATGGATGCTCAGGGATCGAAACCAAGATTATTTCGACGAGGTCAGTTCTCGCTATTATAAAAAAGTTCGCCGGATATTGCGACGCTTCTGTTAATCTCTTATAAATCGCTAAAGTATCGATATTTTGTCCGAACTAGTGACAGCCTTATCCTTTAAAATATATAATTGCTAAAAAAAATCAAGATTCTTTATATAATATAACAATATTCACAATAACTTAAAATATGGTTTTATTTAAGATATTGAACGAACTAGTAGTATAAGATAAGTAATAATATTGTAATTAGACGTATACTTCAACAATACTCGATTATTTTTACGTAAAATAAAAATGCATGTGATTATTTTCGCAAGACTGAGGTAGTTAAAAAAATGTTACATTACTTAAATTTACAAATTATAAAAATTATCCATTGTTTTTCTTAATACTTGGTCTACATTCTATATATTCCTCGCCAATTGCCGCTTTATTTCTGTCATGAATAAACGCAGATTTTCGTATATACGAAGAAACGAAATGCGATATCACTGTTAGCCAATGCTATCGGTTTCGATCACTGATCGTGTCTTCGTTTCGAGTGGCTTGGAGATCAAACTCCCTGTGCCGGAGAGGCGGGCGCTGATCCTCCAAGTGCGAGCATAGCAAGGTGGCAGGCACAGTCGTCACTACTGTACGTCCAAACCCATAGTGAATGATAAACAGAAAAAGAAAAACGGATGATGCTCGAATGCACCGAGATTTCTAAAGGCAGTCGTAGTCAACCTATATGCAAATAATGAAAGAAGAGAATGTACACGCGCGACGCGTACCTAACGCCGTTACAGGAATTATTGATCTAGCTTATTTTCTTTTCTTTTTTTTCTCTTACTTTCCGCCGAATATTACGAGCAAATGGTCATCGGCGATTTCATTCTCTTTCTCTGTTTTTGAGTGAAAATCTTCCTCTCGATTTATTTGTCTTTTCTTTTTCTCTCTCCGCCTCTCTTCCGTCGTTCTCGCGCGAACGAGGACGTCGAGGACCGATCTCGGAGAAATATCAAGACGCACGAGAGATCGCGAATTTTCAGTCGAAATAATTTCAGCGGAATTAGCAAATGTTCGTTGTTTTCAGTAAGTACTCCGCGCCAGAAAGAAGCATTGTTAAGTTAGTAAAGCGGGAATCTCGGGGGTAGACGGACGAGAGTAGAACTTGGGATTGGCCGGGTCTGGGTGTGATAATTTCGGTGGGTTTCGATTTCCTTGGATATCGGATAAAGACAGACACAGGGCGTTGGTGTCGGGTCATTGGTACATTTTAGACAGGTGATAATAGACGCAGACAAGGGACAAGGAGAGACGGTCCTTTAGGGTTCTTTATCGTGAACTGTACGGTGCCGATTAGCAATACTTGCCGATCCGTCGATAGAACAGAAAGCGAACATGTACACTTGTTGAGTTATTATCTCGTGTTCGTATCGTATGTATATATATATATATAATATGATAGAAAAAGGAACGATATAATAAAAAGAACGCAACAGAGTCGTTCACGCAAGAGGCGCGCAATAAGGTTAGCGTTCGTGTAAAATGCTAGGACGTTCACTATAAGACAAGTTCGACAGGATGATACATAAAGTGCAAGCCTGGCAAACACAAACAACACAAGACCAGGTTCGTAAGTACACGACTCGTAACATACTATTATGTATATCAGTCATATGGCTAACGCATCTAAGGGACAAGAAGACAAGACATAACAGAAAAGGGAGACAACAATCTGACGACATATCACAGATAACACAGAGACAATTCGTACGGTTGACTTTATATGTATACGTGAAGAGTTTTTGCCCATGACAGACGCTTCGCGGATGATGCGTACAAGCGTATTATATATTTTCATAAACGAGATAAAAGGTAATTAATGAGATTCTGTATGTCATAATAAAAAGAAAACGGCATATAAGCCGATATTCATAGTTCTCATTTCAAGACCGTCTTAAGTAATGTCTTAAGATGTTATACGGCCTTTTGATTGATTCGTGATATCTCTTAAAACTGTACTTAAGACCGTCTTGAATATAAGAATCAACTATGCATAGCGATATCATAAAATCTTCAGAATTACATAATACTTATTTTCAGAATGCTCCGTTTCCTTTTTTTTTTTCCTGCATTAAACTTCGTCCTGAATCTATTTTCGACGTGGATTTTAAAAAACAAGAGAGAGAGTGTTCTACAAAGAGGATTTTAAAAAAGTAGGTTACCGAATATTTGTTGTAAATTCGATATCAATACCAAGAGGATTGTTTCTCGTTCGTATGTTTTTTCAAAGTCCATGGCGTTTTTATTTGCGAACATGTATTCGACTATTTTTATCAAAATATAGACGGAAACCCGACGAGAGACGCGCGCACGCGGCGCTACCTCGACTGGGATAAACCGCCACAAAAACCGTCAACGACTCATCTCCTGTACGTATCAACGCGAGCGTGGCCATGAGGCGCGAAAGTGAATAAAGACAGATAGGTCAGACAGGTAGATAGAGTGGCTGAGAGAGAAAAAGAGTAAGAGAGATAGAGAGAGAGAGAGAGAGAGAGAGAGAGAGAGAGAGAGAGAGAGAGAGAGAGAGAGAGAAGAGAGTGGACGAAGTAGAATAGGAAGTGGCGTTCGATGAAAGAGATGAGAGACAAATAAGCAAAGTGTGATCAAACATTAGCGAAACGCAAATATTCGTATAATGAGAAATGATAACAGGCTGTTATATGGGCGGCGTAAAAACAAAGAAGGCAGAAAAAGAGACAGAACGAAACGTTAGGAAAGTAATGACAGTGTAAAAGGCAGGCTAAAGGTTCGATATATAAATACATAAGTGTTACATATTAATGGGTCATACGAAAGACATGTAAGATGAATGTACGAGCGAAACGAGCAATAGATGATACTTTGTTCTTTCTTTTTTTTTTTTTTTCTTTTAGATAATGAACGATTAGCGAGAGCTTGAGCTGCAACTTACCGCGGTGTAAAGGAACTCCAGAACGTACTACGTGTGGGAAAAACCAACGAGAAGAAAGGGCGTTACCACGGTCACAGAACCCGCGTTTGCGGGCAAAAAACGAAGGCGCGTGCGCAGCATTGCGCGAGCAATCGTTTCTCGAGCAATTGCCTCCGAACGGCAATTTTTTTTTTTTATATTATTGCAAACGCGATCGCGTGCGACTTTCGCGCGCGTTAAAACTGTCCGCCCCGATCTTTAGTCGCGATCCGGGCCTTTTCCGTCTCCGGCTCCGTTCCGGCACCGGCTGGACCGGCACGGAGACCCCGCGAGTGCTCCTCGCAATGTTCCGCACGCCATTACAGAAACAATAGACGTAGACACACACTAATCAAGCGTACCCATCACACACGCGATCCTTCCAGTCACGCAACATGAACGCAGTCACTCTCGGACTCATTCAACATAGAGTGGTATACAATGTGACAGACACAAGTTGGAAACTACGCAACGCATACACATATGTATATATAATGAGATGTATATAAAATATATATAAATATAAGTACCCCATGACGCCACCCTTGGCGCGGGCACCCTGACGGAGCAACCCAAGGGAAACTCTTATCAGTTCGGTGTAACCAGGGTCGAAAGAATCTCGCCTGGACCGACAACGAGAGGAGATTCCATCGGCGTCGATCTAGGGCCCGGGCTGAGGGACGTTTCTCGAATATTGATTACGCTGTCCGAGCAACCTCAATGCCAGTCTGAATACTTGATTCACGACGGAGCGCTTGTATCCGCGAGCATCTTTCTCGTTTGGAGCGAATGCGTTTTAAAAATCGTATTAACGCAAATAGCTTTTGGAAAAAGATACGAGAATTTTTTAAGTAAAAACGTCCAAGTATTCACAAAGCTTACAAACTCTAAAGACGAATGATGGGTATTTAATAATTGTTTAAACCAATAAATGTTGAAATAAGCCTAAAATGGCATTATTAAATCTTCAGTAGCCATTTCAATGTTATTTAAGTTTAGTTATGTGGTTTAATTGAGAAATAATTAACGATATCCCATTGTTGAAACTTTTAAATGAGTGTAAGTGTTGGTCGCAAGTATACTCGGAATTGTAATCAATATTCCAGCGATATTACGAGACAAATGGACAATGGACAAAAACAATACTCTAAAAATGTTCGACTTCTGGAACAGTCTTCGACGACAACATGGACCTTATTATACGCACCGTATAGAAAGTTTTCGTGGAGCAAAAAGAAGGAGACGGTACGAGAAATTTCAAACTTGTGTCTACCATATCTAGAAATACTTTTACGAGTGGGCGAGTCACGGCGCTTGTGCTCTTTGACATCGATAGCTCTCTGCACAGACTTTCACAGATAATTGCAAATTCTCGTTAAGGGAGTTTTGATCTCTGCCCGTCTGACTCAACCATTCGTACGCTTTATCTATGAACTCCTTTCTCGTAATCGCTTAACAAATGGCCAGATTATTGGTGTCGGAAAGCAATTTTGAAAATTGTATTCTCTGTCCTTCCTTATATATGTTGTTAATTATATTGCGCGCAGGCCGAGTACTGTTATACTTTATAACGATAACGAACAGTGCCTAGAGTACATTAACGCGTGAGAAATGAATTAACTAATAATAAGGTAATACAAAAGCAAGTCTCTAGCATATTTTCGTTATGCAGACTTTCGTCATTCAGTCCGTAGGCAGAACGGAGCCTTTTTTTCGGTCTTCGGCTGTAGGGTGATTGGTAATCTGGTGATGGTAAAGGGCTACACACAGAGGATAAACACTAGACAAAATACACGATACCCCCGAAGTGCCGTCACGGCTTCTTCCAGCTGAGCCGCATATCGATAATCACTTCTTCAGTGCCGAACAAAGGAAGACAAAATTTTTTTTATCCGATAAAAAAGTTCTTATATGCGTCTATTAAAAAATAAACTTTTTGGAAATTATACTTAGTTTATCTATTTTAAACTTCTTTCATTATATGTTATTTCTTTAATTGATTCCACATGAAATGTAATATATTCATCAATTATCATATTAGATATATTGAAATATTTTGTGGAAATTAATGATTTTTAATGACAAGTTTCTTTTAAACTAGCAATAAAATAGTCTCCTCTTCAGTGACGTAAAGATGGAGTTAAATTTTATCACAATTGTCAACTTAACATGCATTAATTTATTTAACATGGCTTTAATGATTTGAATTAAAAATATACCTTAAACATTTTATTTAATTAATTCAAAAAAAATCTTTGATTGGCAATAATTCCGAAGTAATCATCAATAAATTGGCATTCGGAGGGGGGAAAGGGGTGAAACACTAGGAAAGGATGGTTAGAGGGTTGCAGGGTGTCACCCACCGGGGGCTCTTCTGATATTTCAGCTGTTACGGATGTGGATACATAAACGATCCGATAAAATTTTTGTAGCATTCAACGGTCGCTCACGATGGGGAAAACATTATTAAACAATTGATCGTAGTATCTTAATTCATTTAAATAGCATTTGCATATAATATCCGCTCGCAAACCAATAGTTTCGACGTGTGATATGTGCAATCAAAGAAGTATTTTACATTGCGTTGCAAATTACATAAAATGACGATATTGACAAAACTATAACGATGATTCCTAAAGTGTTACTATTTTAGTCTATCGATCATTTTCGCAACTAGATTCTGTTTATTAATTTCAATTTATGTAGGGGAGGAATATGCAGATTATCTTTCATAATATCAGATTTTGTGTATCTATTTCGTACAGCTTGTATTGTATCCGTATTAAACGTATATTTCATAAACAAAATTTATATTACGTTTCCACAATAAATTAAAAACAAGTTATACGTATTCAAAGCTGAAAATATATTTTAATTAACTTTGTCTCGTCCACGTGAAATTATTGGTGAGCATTCATCGTACACGCATATGCAAGATATATACATATATGTATATATATATATATATTTAAATATTATATATGTGTATATATATATATATATCCTACATAGAAAAGAAAAATATAATAAATAAATATGAATATGTACCCCATCGTAAACTGTTACCACAGATTGAAACGCGTAAGTTACATGATAATATTCATAACTCGATAACCGCGTACAGCGTGACGCGATATATTGTATTTTCGCACGTTAAATTTGTCAGTCCTGTAAACTGCAATTTTGACATTAATAACGCGTTTCAGGACGTTCACTGCATACGTCAAAGACAAATTTTCACGGCGTGCCGTATCAAAAGGAATGAAAGTGCTCAACCAAACACGATGATACGCGTTTTTTGGCTAACGATAAAACCGAGAAAAGTAATACGCGGTCGCATGAAAGTCGTAAAAAGGCCAAACTATGACACGCAGCTATGCTATTTTATCTTCATTAAATGTCATGTGTGCAACGTTTACGATCGACCGAGTCGTTACCCGCGTTTATGTATATGTATATACTTTAAAACATTAATGCAAAAATAAAAAGAAGAAGAGAAATCGTGTGTTGCGTGAAAAATCTGTCAGAAATGTTTGGACAAAAATGGCAAGTTCTCGGTCGTTCGAACACGTCACTCTCGCTTATCTTATGAAAGTAAGAGACTAAGCGAATTCTAATTCGAATTTTAATCCGTCCGGGTGAAAATGATCGATCTTACCTTTCCGTGTACTCGTCCATGTGGGCGTAGCTCTGTACGCTGTTCTCCTCGACGAGGAACTTTACTCGTTGATAGAAGGACGCTGTGACGCTGGGTGGTTGTTTTCGGAGAAGAACGTCCACGGGATTATTACTAGCAAGGCACATGATATGTTCTGAACAAGCTTCGTGCGAGCAGCACTCGCTGTCAGAGCAGTCCATCATGCCATCTGAGAAAGGCAATCTGTTAGATATCCACTCGAACATGTCTTGCACTCGATAAGATTCTATTTCTTAAACGATCTTTTAAGGATGTATATATTACAAGTATCTTTTAATAATGAAAAAATAGATTATTTATATTGTATGCGCGCGTGTGTGTGTATATGTGTGTGTGAAAATAATACAAAAAGTTTAAATTGACCTTATTGATGTATTTTTTTATGTATATTAACATTTATTTTTATATGGAAAGTATAAATTTGCAATTTCAGTCATTTTTGTACAGATTATACACATGGTAACATCCTTAAACGATTTTATCTTTCGCATTTTTATATTTTTATTAGCTTCATAAAAGATTGGATAAAAGCAGTAATCAAAATTGACATTCTGTTTACGCTGTTATAAAATTTAATGTTATATAAAATGCAATTAACATTTTCCTGCTGTAAACAATAATATCTCATAATCAGTTAATTTTCTTCCATTCCCCTTTATTGATTTTTCAAGAATAATATCCGTTAGATACAGATGAGCAATAATATGCCATTAATCAGCGTTGATTTAATACTGGTTTACTTGAGGACTTACCTTCGTCATTGTCAACGTAATCATTACATTCCAATTCAAGTCGTATGCTGCAATCTCTGCCGGCCCACCCGGTTGAACATTCGCAACTGTATTCGCCATCCTGTAGGGTGCACAATCCATGGCGGCTACATCCATTCTCACATCCGGCTATTAAAGGGAGAAAACCATTTTCAGACATCGTTTTCAATAATTGCAGTCGAGTAATCGATTATTGAAAAATGATATTGCGTCGTTTCGTATCGGGGAACTTATTATTGATAGCAAAATATATGCTCACACTACAAAGTAAAACACCGAATTTATCGTGATAACATATAGTCTTTTATTTTTTACGTACGTAATGTGCAATGTCTTCCGTTCCATCCTTGACTGCACACGCAGGTTCCATTTTTGCACTGGCCATGCTCGGCGCAACGTAAATCACACGGTTTTTGATCGCATTTCGTTCCGGTCCAGTCATCGTGGCATCTAAAAATAGTAAGTATATGCCTCGCATCCCACAAATTTTACATGTATTGCAAATATCAATTAATTTTTATTCAACAACCGAAATTACGAAATAGAAACAATAAGAATATGAGAAAATCCATAGAAAATAATATATGATAATACAGTCTTATTACACATATAATATATATTACTCGAATTTTGGTACATTAATTATTTCGTACTTCGTACACGATACGAAAATGTTTCTAACAGGATTCGTTATGTTAAACGACGGTATCGCCGAACGTAAAATAATTTCTCGCCGTTTATACCGGCTGCAATAAAAAATGCGAGTTTGAACTGAGTTCCGAAGTTGTTCTGCCGTAGTGAGGAACTTTTTGCACTTAGAGCCTCTTTTACGCCAACTCTCGGGGATGGAACGAGGGAGAAAGAGGGGGCGGGGGGCGGTGGGAGAGAGGGAGTGGTAGACGAGAGGCGTCAGCTTTAGAATATGAGAAAGGAGATCCTCTCTCGCGTCCTTGATTCTGACAAAGGAAAGTAGGAAGGGACGAGGACGGTCCTTCGAGTTGTGATAAGTTGGCGCCTCGTAAGACAGAGCCTTTTTCTCGCAATTTTTCACCTTTTTAGCCTCAACTTTTGTGCCTGCGATCCTGGCGAGCAATTTACTCATTTTTAGGCCATTCTTCGCCCACATCTATCCCACAATATTTCAATGTCCCGACAAAACGTTACTCTTTCTCTTTCCTTCTCGAGCGCGGATTACTATTAAATGCTTCGCGACGTGCCTCCCTCGTGCATTCGTTGAAAACTTTACGACGTTTCTCACTCTTCGACGCGGCATTACCCGGTAATCTATTCCAGTCGTAAAAGTTGCAAAAAGCTTGCACGTCACACTCTATGAAGCATAGAGAGAGAGAGGGAGAGAGCACGTAAATGGCCGCCACGTCCGCACAATTCCGCAAATCTCCCGCATTAAACAATGATCTTGCGCGAGGTATGGGCGTCATATGGAAGAGAAACGAATCGAGGTCGCATGGAATTCCTTTAATCCGAGAAAAACTACTCTGGGCGTTGAGACACGCGTCACTTTCCTCGTTCAATCCCGGAGAGAGCGGCTGTTCGCCGGTTGCACCAACGGGTAACCCAATTCCAAAATCCCGGTCGCAACACGTCCACGGAGGGCCCATAAAGGACGACGATGTATAAAGGACGGCGTACGTGTGTGCGTCATGTGTGTATACTGACTTGCAGCGGCCTTGCTCGCAGGATCCGTGAAGTCCGCAGTCTAGACCGCAACTTGGCTGCGAGCAATCGACCCCCGTCCAATGCTCCTCGCAAACGCAGGCCGCAGATTCGAGGTCGTACGTGCCGTGATCAGAGCAGCCGGGCAGACACTGGTACACCTGCTGATCGACCTGATTGCACCGCTCGCCCTGCCAGCCAGCCTTGCAGTAACACTTGCCGGAGACACAAGCACCGTGGCCGCTGCAGTTCGGATCAGAGCAGTCGGCTGAAAGTTGAGAGAGAGAGAGAGCGAATTGAATGCGCGTTCAGATTAGAAACCATTGCGTTTTTACGGTTCGGCGCAATCTGGAGCTTCTCGTTAAAAAGGCTAAACTTCCCGTTCACGAGCTGAACGCATCCCTGCCCATACCCCGTCAGTTATCAAAGCCCATCCCCGTCTTCCCTCTCCCGTCACGCTCGGGCGCCGCTGATTGCGTCCATGGCGTGGACGAATGGACCAACTTTTTAAATTATGGCATCGGAACAATTGCATTATTCCCGCAGATCCCACCTGCCCCGGGGAAATTATGAAACTTAATTCCACAGCGTCCTTGGCGCAGCAGCGACGGCAGCAGCGGCGCCGTCGCGGGCCGCGCGTCGTCTGCGTCCGCTATGCGTTATATGTATACGGGACACGAGAGATGAGAGGAATTCCTGGCGGATTCTTCTTGCATTATGTATGCGCGACGTTGATCGAACGGGATCATAGATTTGTTCGCTTTCATTAGAACCTGACAGGTGCGTTCGCGCGCCATCGTGAAACGTAGAAACGCGAAACGCGGTAAATTGGCCGTTGAAGTATGATACCATTAAGTGTATTTAATGGTACATACAGAATGTTTCCTCGGAACGAGCTCTTTTCGGTAAAAATGTTAAGACATCAATTTCTAAGTCGTGAACGATAAACGAAACGGTAGTTTTAAGGAATTATTTATTCGGCAGAAATGGGCAAAATTTTATTTAAATAGATAATAAACAAAAGAATAAGACAGAATTTATTCGATTCAACGATAATTTAAATAAATTCTTATCTAAATAGTTATTCGAATAAACCATTCATTATCTACTATTTGTACGAATAATATTATACAAATAATATTATTACACTATATTATCAAATAATATAATAATAATTTAAACGAATAATAATTACTTATATATCTATATATATATAT